GTGATCCTGGATCGGTTACATTGAATAGCCATATTAGAGGTCGATGATCCGTCACGATTTTAAATTTTATTCCGTATAGGTAGGGGCGATAATGTTTTACAGCCCACACTATTGCTAATAGTTCCTTTTCAGTAGTGCTGTAATTTTGTTCTGCTTTATTTAAAATTCTACTTGCATAGGCGATCGGTCGGTCTTGGCCCACCGGCCCTTGTGAGAGCACGGCTCCGATCGCGTAATCTGAGGCGTCTGTCGTTACCAGGAATTCCTTCGTGAAGTCCGGGTAATTTAGTACCGGCGCGGTGGTTAGCTTTTCCTTTAAAGCTGAAACGCGTGTTGTTGCTCCGCCGCCCAGTCGAATTTCTCCCCTTTTTTGTTAATTTTGTCAAGGGTTTAGCAATTCGCGAGAATTCCTCGATAAATCGTCGGTAATATCCCGCGAGTCCAATGAATGATTGTACGTCCCTGACTGTTTTAGGAATGGGAAATTTTGTTACCGCCTCTAATTTTGACGGATCCGGCGAGATTCCCCGGTCCGTTATTACATGACCTAGGTAGATCACTTCCTTCCTGAGGAATTCGCATTTATCGGGCTGCAGTTTCAATTTACTGCTTCGTAAGCGCTTGAGCACTGCGACGAGTCTCTCGTTGTGCTCTTTTAAGTTTGCTCCGTATATCACGATATCATCTAAATAAACTAAACATTTTAACCCTTGCAATCCTGTTAATACGGAATTCATCAGGCGTTGAAATGTCGCTGGCGCGTTTTTTAGTCCAAACGGCATTCTGTTATATTCGTAGTGTCCATACGGCGTCGAGAAGGCCGTCTTATTTTTATCCTTTTCTGCCATCGGGATTTGATGATATCCCGACGCAAGGTCTAACGTCGAAAAATATTTCGCATTGCCTAATTGATCTAGGATATCGGTTATATTGGGTAGCGGAAAGGAATCTCCTATGTGAGATCGTTAAGTTTCCTAAATCTACCACGATTCTTAATTTGCGTTTCCCTGACGCGTCTGTTTTTTTCGGCACTACTAGCAGTGGCGCATTCCACTGGCTTGTGCTGGGGCGAATAATTTCGTCCGCCAGCATCTTGGCGATTTGTTTGTTGACTTCCTCTTTATGTTTTTCGGGTAGTCGATACGGTCTTCTATTTACCGGTGCGCAATCCGCACGGGTCGCTATTCGTGAGACACTGCATTGTGTGTGTAAGCGCATCGTTTTCTAAATAAAATAAATCGCAATAGTCGTCCATATACTTAGCAAGGCCTTCGTTTCTTCCTTGTTTAAGTGTGTCAATCGTAATTGCTGACGCAAGCGTTCCTGCCGCTCCATCACGGTCTCGGCGCTCTTGCCGTTCTCGCTATCTTTTTCTATCGCATGCACGGCCGCGGGGTCGCTCACCGGCACGTCATCTAATATCGCAAGCGGTGTCGTTATCTCTACCGCCTCCGTTGTCGTATTAATTACGGCAATCGGACATACATTTTCCTTCGGTTCTACTAAACAGCTCCCTATGAATACTCCGGCCGTAATTTCTTCCGCCTGCACTACACCGATTTTATTTTTGTCGGTTCTAGCCCGTATAATTGTTTCGCTACGGGGTGCTAGCGCGTATTTTTCAAATGCCGTTTCGGGATGTAATTTAAGAACCGTGTCTCCGATGCGCACGTTTTTGTTCTTGAGATCGCATTTAGCTGCGTGCTTCATTAAAAAGTCTATGCCAAGTATTCCTTCGTAATTAGTCGGAAAATCATCCCGTACTACATACATGGTGTGCTTAATTTTTTGATCTCCGA